CCATTTTCATATGGGTGACCAGATCAATAACCGGGCTAGATAAGAAATAATCAAAAATAATTGAGCTGAAAAGAAAGAATCGAGCAGTAGAGCTGTTGAGGACAGAGCTTTAGTATATTTTTGTGGAAGTGAAAATGTCATTCCACTGCACAGGAATGAGAAGCATGCTGTAATTATAGGAGGCTCTCTAGACAGACATCTTCAGTTTTGCCTTTTTGTAGCTACAGTAGCTGTATGTCACATAGCAATTGCTGAACAGATAAGTATTGTATTAAAATATTAATTGCTGCTGACTGTTACCAGTATTGTGTTATTGTAATTTTTTGTAGATACTGGGTGTTAATAACCAAGTTCTATGTGTGCTGGTATTTTCTAGTCCTTCACTACATGTTAGCTGATTCTGTAATCAAAGAAACACTTTTTTATCTGATTACAAATTCTTTTTTTTTTTTTTTTGTCAGTTATGGGGTTCGAATTCAGGGCCTGGATGTTATGTTATTCCTGAGTTTTTTGTGTTTTTTTTTGGTGGGGGCGGTCTGGTCATGGGGCCTGAACTCTGGGCCTGGGCGCTGTCCCTCAGCTCTTCAGCTCAAGGCTAGCACTCTACCACTTGAGCCACAACACCACTTCCAGCTTTTTTCTGTTTGCTTTGTGGAGCTGAGGAATCGAACCCAGGCCCTCTTGCATGCAAGGCATGCACTCTACCACTGAGCCACCTTCCCAGCCCATTCCTGAGCTTTTGTACTCAAGGATAGCACTTTGGTTTTTTTTTTTTGTTGTTGTTGTTTTAACTTTTTTGAGTGTGTGTGAAAATACCGTACAGAGGGGTGACAATTACATGGGCAAGGTAATGAGTCTTATCAAGCATTGTTGCCTTCCCCCCACCCCCCAGTCAAAGTTGTAAAGTTTGTTTTTGACATAACCTCTTGTACATACCATTGTTGCAATGGGTCCACCTGTATCCCTATTTAAACAATCTGTTTTTTCCCTTCCCCTCCACAAATTATATCAACATCAAATACAGTGAAAACAGGGGTTATACCGTGGAGGAGGGACATACAAAGCAACAAAGAAATCATCTTATAAATATGTTAGAAACAATTGCAAGAAAGAAAAAAAGCATTTGAGTCCTTATCTTGGGGTTCATTTCGCCTAACATCAACTTATCTGACCGTTTCTGCTTGTCTCAGACATATACTAGTAATTGCAAATAAGGGAAATCATGGGACCTATGTTTCTTTGGACCTGGCTTACTTCACTTAATATAATTTTTTCCAGGTCTTTCCATTTCCTAACAAATGGGGCAATGTCATTCTTTCTGATGGAGGCATAGAATTCCATTGTGTATATATACCACATTTTCTTGATCCATTCATCTACTGAGGGGCATCTGGGTTGGTTCCATATCTTAGCTATGGTAAATAATGCTGCAAGGATAGCACTTTGAATCACTGCACCATTTCCAGTTTTCTGTTGGTTAATTGGAGACTAGAGTCTTATGGACTTTCCTGCCCAGGCTGGCACTGAACCATGATGATCAGATCTCAGACTCCTGGGTAGCTAAGTTACAGGTTTGAGCCACTGGAACCCAGCATTCTTTTGACTTTAAATGGCATGATTGTTGCAAAAATATAGGGTGCATTTAAGCCATAGAAGTTCTGCATGTTTGTAGTAAACCGTTACTTAAGATAGGACTCCTTTTAACAAAATTGTCATGGAGGAGGTGGGAAATATTTGTTCTCTCTATTGGATGTCTTTGTAGTAGTGGCTAGTATATGTAGAGTAGTAATTGTTCTAAGAAAGCCAGTTTTTTTTTATTTTGGAATTCTCTTGTGAAAGGGGCAGAGTTTCACTTGCTCTTTAAGTTTTTATTTTTATAACAATTTCATACTTACAGAAAAGTTATAAATACAAATAATTCTTGGATATCTTTTAAAAATAATTTTATTGTTATGATTAAGGTGTTGTAAGAGGGGTTACCATTTTATATGTCAGGTAATGAGTACATTCCTTTTTTTGGACTATGTCACCCCTTCCTTCCCCTAGTTTCCTCCTCTCATTCCTGCCCACAAGTTATATAGGTAATTTTCCACATAGTATATACTGAATAGCATAATTGTAGTTGTTCACACATCCTCCCTCCTTTCTGCGCCTCCCCCCATTTCCCCCAGAAGGAAAAAAAAAACCCAAAGCAAAAACAAATGCCTCCACCAGCAGCAGCAACAACAACAACAGCAAAACATATTTCCATTTAAATGGTATTTAAATGTCCAGAGAAGTTACATCTTTGTTCTGATATATCTTTTATGTAAATTTGCCACATGTTTAGAACATTTTACTTTGGTTTTCTCTCTCCCTAAGTACATGTATATTCTTTTTTTCCTCCCTGAGTAATGAAAATAAGTTGCAGGTATATTGCCCCTCCAAAATAATCAGGGTATATATTCCAGTATCACCGTCTTCCTTGTATTCATTGTCATGCTATCAAAGTCAAAACATATATAGCTTTTAATTGAATAGATATTTGTTTACTTAGGAACGAAGTATTGGTGGAATGAAGTGTGTGTATATATATATATATATATATATATATATATATATATGTATGTATGTATGTATGTATGAAAATGGCTTAAGGGACTTATAGTCTTGTCTAACAAGCCAAATAGAAAACTACTTTAGAATAATATCTGTGACATAGGGGTAACACAGATTTAAAAAAAAAAAAGTGCTGGGAAGCATGAAGAGAAAGTAGTTATCATTTCAACCTGGTTGTTTCAGAGTTAACCCTAAAAAAGTGAAAGTGGTCTTCCTTAAGGTCAATGGGAGGGAACTCCCTTCCCAGAATACATCCTTTTTACCCTTGACAATCAAAGTTCTGGGGCTGGATTTGTTATTTTAGTTACTCAGAACTGAAATATCTGGAGCACATAAGATATGACAGGCCAATTTCTACAAAATTTGATGCCATACTTTCCCTTCTAATAGATTTTATCCTTAACATTATTGGGCTTTCAAGAAGTGAGGTTTCCTTCTGAAGCACTTGTTAGGTTGTTTTTATTAATATCTTCTTGGTAATGAAAGCCAAGAAGTAACAGTGCTGATTAGCTGTTAGTACTTGAAAAGAATGGAAGGAATGTTTATAAAAACTTAATTAAGTTACTGTCAGTCGAGTTCAAGGGGTAGTTACTGTTTTGTATTATCTAGATATTAAATGATATGTGTATATATACAAGCACTTTTTGCATTTTTTTGTATTAAAAAGGTTTAAGAAAGTGCTATGATCATGTTCAGACTTCACCAGCTTAAATATGGCACAATTGAAATCAATGCATTTTGTGTGTGTGTGCCAGTTCTGGGGCTTGAACATAGGGCCTGGGCATGAGACATAGCTTCCTTTCCTGCTTTTTGGTGGTTGGAGATAAGGATCTCACCAACTTTCTAGCACTGCTGGCTTTGGACTAGCATCTCAGATCTCAACCTTCTGAGTAACTAGAATTATAAGCATGCGCCTCAGTGTTTGGATTGAAATCAACACAAAAACTTTATAAGATAGTAGCAAATGTTTGAGAATCTGTTTGTAAAAATTGCATATGAAAATTTACTTTTCTTTAGTATTAGAATGTTTATAATACTATTGCATGTCTATGTGAAAAATTACAGAATAATTGAGTATTTCTCAATCAGATGTTTTAAGTTTTTGTTTTAAGTTCATGTAAATTTTAATTGTAAATGCTTAGGTTTTTTGTTTCTTTGCTTTTACATGCATATGTTTTACAATGTTTTAACATGTGCAAAAGATTTTTGATCATAGAATTTCAGATATAAATAACTCATTTTTTCTTTGTTTATTAACATTTTTTAATTATTATCTTTAACTAGTTGTACAAAGAAGTTCCCATTCTACAAAACAGTATATGAATACAAGGTGTTGCTTCTTGTTTCTGATCAAAAACTAAGGAAAGTTTTTGGTATATAGGTTTTTAATTGCTTTTCTTTTTAGAACTTCATTTTGACAGCAATATACATAAAAGGGCAAAAATGTATATGAATTTCATTACTTTAGATTTTCTTATCTGATTTTAAAATTTTTGAGTCTGAAAAGGGGTACCTTTAAATGGCATACTATGTATTTGGAGACCAGTCATATTGATTTGTTGTAGCAGAATTAGGGTTTAAATTTATACTTACTAGGCACATGCTCTGCCATCTGAGCTCTGTCTCTAGGCCTTCAAATAATTTTTTTTAATTAAATTCCTTTTTTATATTATTGTGAAAATACTGTACAGAAGGGTTACAATTACATGGGCAAGGTAATGAGTACATTTCTTATCAAGCATTGTTGCCTCCTCCTTTGTTTCCCCTTCCAATCCCTTCCCATTTTCCACCCCCTCTACTCCCCCCTCAAATAATTTTTAATATCCTCAGTGAAACTTTTAAAATCCCCCACCCAGTTTTTTTTTTTTATCATTTTGAAAAAAGGAAACATTATGATCTATCTCTATAATGTTTAAATAGGAACTTGCTTTCAATTTTGACTTAGTTCCCTAATGTCATTGCTTAACTATTACTACTACATTCCTGATAAATCCACTTTATGAGATTATAGTATACTATGAGGATAGAATATAGGATCTGAAGTCAGATTGCAGTTTGGGCTGCAATTTTAGCTGTCTCACTTAGGTGTATGATACTGCAAAAATTATCTTTTTTAAGTGTTGCGTTAGTAAAGTTATCATAGTAATAACAATTAAGTGGGATTGTTATTTACAGGTGGTTATATATTTCCTAACTCATTCTTGCATCAATGAATGTTAATTTTGTTGCATAAGTTATTTAAACCAGTAGTGGCTTAAAATTATAATAAACATCTATGGTCTTTTCTTTGTAGAAGTCAGTAGTTTAGGAGCACCTTAGCTGGGTAGTCCTGTATCAGATGCATGGAATTGGGGGTAAGTGGGGTTATTTTGAAGCTAATGGCTATAAACTTTATTTTGCAGACTATGTCTTCAGCTGTGGTACAGTTATATGCAGCAGATCGGAACTGTATGTGGTCAAAGAAGTGCAGCGGTGTTGCTTGTCTTGTTAAGGACAATCCACAGAGATCTTATTTTTTAAGAATATTTGACATTAAAGTGAGTTTTACTTTGATTTCACCTCAATCTAATTAGGTTTTCTGTCATAGTTATAATATGAGATATTTAAAATGAATAAGAGAATGATGATATCTTTTAGATACTGAAGTATACAAAATAGGCACATCTACTAAGGCCAAATAAGAATACTGTATTGTCTTCTCATCTACAGTTTTGCTTTCTGGAGTTTTGGTTATTGTGGTAAGCCACAGAACCAAAATATTGAGTAGAAAATTTCTGGAATAAACTTACAAGTTTTGGATAGCTATTTAAAGGCATATTGTTGTGATTGCTATAAGTTTTATTGGGATAATTTGGAAATTTTATCCTATTTTTATAGGAAAAATTATATATATATATATATATATACATATACATATATATATGATCCAGTGGACATCCATGGGATGTTTTAGAATATAATTCTAAAAAAAAAGAATGTAATTCTGTATTTTTTCTCTTCACTGCACTGTGCATTAAAGATAATGTTTTTTAAATTACATTTTTCTATCTTGGACTTTCTCCCAGTTTCTTTTTTTTTCTAGTAATGTACTTTTATTCATTTTGCTTACTGTAGACAAGCTTATATCATCCTTTCAGGATACATCAAAAGACTATTGTCTGTACTTTATATATGTACTGTTACTTGCTTGAGCCCAGGTTTATCTCTAAGAATGTATTTGCTGCTCATTTCCACCTTCCCAGTCCCATCTAAAAATGTATTTCCTGCCTATTCTTCTTTATACTATTTTTATAGATATATTTGGATTGTTATAGCTTTATGATTCCCACTCAATTATAAACCTATCTTGTCACAGAATATATGCCCCTTGTAAGCTATTTATCACCTAGAATGCTCCATTATGTCTTAAAATTTTTTTCTAGATAAGCCTCCCATGGTTAACATTTGTATATGACAATAAACATAGTTGGATTTACTTACAAAATATTAAAACAGGTGTGGTGCCGGTCTTTGAGGTTCTTATCTCCAATTAGCTACTCAGAAAAAGCCAAAAGTGAGCACTGGCCTTGAGTAAAACAAAAAAGCTCAAGGACAAGCCCCAGGTCCAGCACCTAAAGAAATTAATTAAATTAAAACTGGCATTGAACTGGGCATTAATGAGACCAGCTAAGTTATAGTCAAACTTATTTACAGTTGCCCACTTCTTTAGTGGTTAAATAGGATAATCATTGGGGTCTATTACAAAAGTTTTTTATGAGGATTAAATGAGATATGTTATTATACTTTATAAATGGGTGCTTCTCAGCATGTCCTTCTGAATATCTCAAGACAGCTGAGAGACATGGCATGCTATTGTCACTTTCTGGCTTACTATATAGCAGTGATTCTAGGAGATAGGAGTATATCCATAGTTCCGAAGAAGTGCTTTAATAATATTTGTCATCACCAACAAGAACCACTATTTAGAAATAGAATATCATACAATTCTACTAACAATAAAGGAATCCCATTATCGGGAGCCTACTATGTGTATAATGTATTTTACATCTTATGTGTTGGATTTAGGTAGAATTTTGCATTATTTTATTTGCAATAATTGTATTTTTCCATCAACTGGATATAATCATGGGTGACCACTCATAATTAGGTACTTTAATAAAAGCATTAAATTATGTGATTTTATATGCTAAACACACATATAAAATACATGCTTGTTTTTATTAATATAAACAATTCCCTTAATATGAGATGCCTGCTTTGTGTCACTCCTAGAGTTTTTGGCTGGTTTTTTGTTTGTTTTGGAAGCTCTTATTTGATTTTATTTACTTCTTTCTAGGATGGGAAACTATTGTGGGAACAGGAACTATACAATAATTTTGTGTATAATAGTCCTAGAGGATATTTTCATACCTTTGCTGGAGATGTAAGTCATTTTTCTTGTTTAATTTTTTACATTGCTTGCCCTTTCTAATCTGAATTACTTATAGAATCCTATTGAAAGATCAGACTCAGTTTACTGCTTTTTTTTGAAAGATAAAGTATTCAGTTTATTGATTTTCTGCTACGTTAAACGGCTTTTCTAATAATTATCTTCTACTTTACATTTTCTAAGCATTCCCCTTCTTGTTAATCAGATCATAAAATAATTTCTTGTTTGCCAGGAAAATTAACCTTTCTCCTTTAGAAATGTACTTTGTTTATCATGATCACTTTTGCAACATAAAGCTAAATTCATGCATTTTATTGTTGCCCTTTTTACTGAAAATATTTTAGACTTGTCAAGTTGCTCTTAATTTTGCCAATGAAGAAGAAGCAAAAAAATTTCGAAAAGCAGTTACAGACCTCTTGGGCCGGCGACAAAGGAAGTCTGGTAAACTCTTCTATTTTTTTCTTCTTCTTTTTCTTTTTTTTTGGTACATAAAATGAGCCAGCATACTCAGCTTGGGAAAAAGAGATGTGGCTCATTGGCTGTTATTGTACATAAAATTTTATTGAAGCTCAGCTATACTCATTGACATATTGTCTGTGACTACTGTTTTGACATGGTCAATAGTTAATGTAGTTATGACAGAGACCTCAAACCCTAAAATATTTACTGGATAGCCCTCCCTTTCCTAAAAGATGTTTGATGATCCTTACCTCAAAAGACATTTTTTTTTTTATTAAGACCGTATTTTGTTTTAACATTACTATAGAACTTATTCCAGTAACCATTTTTGTTGGTAAAATTCCATGTATGCTGACTTCTAAATTTGCACTGTTTATGTCACTGTTTGTGACAAATTTTTTCATTTTTGTAAACATTTTAGGCAAGCAATTAAGTAGAAATATAAACAAGATCTACAGCCATCACCTTGTTTCTCATTTGTCCTTAGAGTTGCATATTGTAAAACCACAAGGAACCTAATTTAGTACAGAAGAGGACATTAATACATAGAAAAAAATTTAGGCTCATATTGAATTTAAATAAACTGCCATAGAGCTATTGTTTGACAAAGCTAGCAGGCCTTGATCTAGTACAGAAGAGTGATTAGGAAAGTTGATCAACTCTAAAATCGTTACCTCATGTATTACAAAGCCTTTTTGTACAGCTGAAAGATCACTGGGAATGCAGGGAATCTGGAAGTTGCTCTGTAAAAGCAGGAATCCCATTTTATGGGTCTTTATTGTTTTTTAGTGAGTTTTAGTGAGGGGGAGGTAAAAATAAATCAAATTGTTACCTCACTACTGCCATCTTAGTGTGTTCCACTTATTATGGGTAAATAGGAGAATTATTAGGACCTACTACTTTTTGGAGCCAAGAACCATTTGACTCAATAATAGGAAAGTTTTTAATACTATTTCTAAACCTCAACATTAGGAGTCATGGTTCAGTCACTGTTTCAATGGTGCTGGACCAAGAGCTTTCTGGAAGAAAGTCAGAATATGTGATAAAATGAGTCAAAAATACTTTTAAAAAAATAATTGATGTTAGATGCTGTTGGTTCATGCCTGTAATTATTAGCCCCTTGCTAGTCAAGGGACTAATATCTGAGGATCTGGGTTCAAAGCCAGCCCAGATAGGAAACCTTTTGAGACTGTTGGAGACTCTTGTCTCCAATTAACTATCAGAAAACTAAAAGTAGAGCTGTAACTCATTTGGTAGAATGCTAGCCTTGAGTGCAAAATTGATTTTGAAGCTGGTATATGAGTTAGAATGCCTTTAACCTAGCACAGGAATTCTCATGTGTAATGGTAGTTCGCACACTTTTAGGCAGTATTTCAATAGCACAAAGAACATGGTATTAGGGAGGCAGTTGAATTACTGCTAGGTAGCTCTTCATTCTTAGTTCTTTTCCTCACTATATAGCCATCTAATTATTTCTTTTTAAAATAAGTTACTGTTGGACACATTAGCACATATGTAGTTTAACTATGACTGATACTAAACCATCCTTAATACTGTTCCAGTAATGAGCCTAACAAATACCTCATAGCATTAGCTATCATTGTGTGTTCAACTCAGTTATTCTCACTTTCATGTGAATGGCTCAAGCAAGAATTACTTAGCTCAAGTTAAATAATTGTTCCTCAGATACATTCTGAACTTTTATAGTCATTTACTTTGTTCACCCACTGATTTAAGAAATACTGCTGCTTTTTTGTATGAAGAGATAGCAGACCCTTAGAAATTGAAGATTGACTTTCTTGGACATAGAAAGGACTTACTTTAAATGTTTGACAAAATTATTTCATCATAAGTTTGAGTTCCTATTTTTATTTGTTCACTAAAGAGATTCTATTGACTTGTGATTATTTATAAACTAAAATTACATTTGTTATATATGGATCTTCTACATTTCAGAAATTTTTTTTTAATGTGGAAATTACATTTGTTTATAATTCCTTGAATACTTTTGAAGTTTCTTTCTTTTTTTGCGGGGGGGAGATCCAGTGGTGGGGCCTGACCTCTGGGCCTGGGCGCTGTCCCTCAGCTCTTCAGCTCAAGGCTAGCCCTCTACCACTTGCCACAGCATCACTTCTGACTTTTTTCTTTTTGCTTATGTGGTGCTGAGGAATGGAACCCAGGGCCTCATGCATGCAAGCCAAGCGCTCTACCACTGAGCCACCTTCCCAGCCCCTTTTGAAGTTTCTTAAAGCTGAGCTAGGTTTTTTTTTTTTTTTGCTCTGAACAAACCTGGTATGTAAAAACATAAATGCAAATTAGTTTCTTTCTCCTATTTAATTGAATATAACTTTTTAGTATTTGCCTGTCCTGACACTCTCTGTATGCTAAGGACTCCCTAAGTTTTGCCTTCCAATTCTGACTTCATGCTATCCCCTTAAGTTAATGTCAGAACAGCCTTCAGACAATGTATTTGAGCAAAACAGTCTGTTTTCTCTGTTGGAACCCAGTGATATACAGAATACATGGATAGTGGGCTCTTATAAAATGTCTGAATTCTTCTCACTTCTCTCCTTGCACTACTCATTCTCTTGGTTCACTCTAGTCCATTCCTTACCTGGTTTTGTACCTTCCTTAGGTCATTGGGCCTTTCCCCACTTGATATTTAGAATCTTATTAAATGTCAATTCTCAGAAATATCTTCCTTAACCTAAACCTGTTTGTCAATGGGAATGAAACAGTGTAAGTGAATTTAGTTTTTTGTTGAGGTTGTGTTCTTAAGCCTAATAATATTCCAATTTATTTTCTAACAGAGAAAAGGCGAGAACCTCCAAATGGTAAGCTTTTTATAAGTATCAACCAAAAAGATTTTAAATTGTGGTTTTGTTCTTGTAATATGTACCTAGTATTTAGAACCTGATATTACAGTACTATGTTTTATTATGTCCTTGCTTAAAATTAATGAATGTTGGGTGAGATTTATGAAACATGGTTTTGTTTTGGTGTTTTTCCGCATGAAGGAAAAAAATACATAAGATGAAGGTGACTGACACTTCCTTTAAATTTACAAATTGGACAATTTTAGAAACTACATTTTATTCTTAAAATTCACTCAGTGTCTGAAGCAGTGAAGATGAAGAATGGGAATAGGTTGAAGGAATGAGTTTGTTGTAAGTGCACTGTGTACATGCATGAAATATCACAGTGCATCCCCTTCATACTACAGATGTATGGAGTTGACAATTTAAAAATAAAATCTTTTCTACAGGCATTACATTTTATCTTCCATACTTGTTTATCTTAAGATATCTAAGGTATCTTTTTATTTCAAAATATTTCACATTTGTTCTATTTTTATGTGCAGCCCCTTTAAAAAGGAACGTGTGTTTACAAGGTGTGTTTATTTGCAGCTGCATATAACCTCTTTGATTTAGTATTGAACACCTTCAGTATGACAGATTCACTTAGTTCTTTATTGGGGTGTTGAATGCCAGATGCAAAGAATAGCATCTCTGACCTGTAGGATCCTTGACCTGTCATTCTGGATCTCTATGGCCTTTCTGAAGCTATGTGATAAGTTTTGCTTATATTCTTTTCTCTGGAGAGGCTCCTTGGGTCTCATCACATTTGAGTGGGGTCCCTGACCCTACATTGCTCCAGGGACCTTTATTTTAAAAGGGAATGCAACTGGGACAGTCACTCATAATCAAATGTAGTATCTTCCTCAGATTGCATTTGTTTTTATTCTGTAGCTTTATAGTTTAATCATTGGGTGCTATTGTCTCAGGCCTTTTTCCTTTAAATAATATTTTTTATTATGTTGTTAAAGATCAACATTATACAGTAGATATTGCCAATATTTTATTTATGAAATATATATAAACATTACATTTCTGGATTACACGCACCTTAAAAAGTGAAGTAAATACTTGTTAATACAGATTTGAATTCATTTTTCTTACTCTTGCTCTCTCATCAGTGGAGACCACTATTTTTGAGCAGGATTACATTATTTCATATTGGGCATTGCCACTAGGTGGTAGCACATATCTTTACCATGTTCACAGTGTCTCAGCTCTTCATTTAGATTTTAGGTTTATCAGATGTTTTCATATTATAAGTATTAGTAACACATTTTACATAGCAGTTACACATATATTCTTAAATTCAGCTTTGTTTCTTCCTTCCTAACTCCTAATTTCTGTATTGGTCACATTTTTCTTTCCAATGGTTTGTTTTTACCTTCATTGGTTACTTCTATTCCTGTTACTGCTCTTCACCTATTTTTCAACTATGTTATCTTGGTAAAGTTGTATGCTTCTAATGAAATTAAAGGGAAACTTAAATTTGTTCTTTTAGGTATAAAATTAACTAGAAAGATGTGTTACTTACAAGAATATTCAAAACTCTTTTCCTATAACATTTGTTCTTAATTTATTATTTGACTATTTTTAGATAAAAGAGGAAAGCAGCCCTCTCTCATATATTTACTTAGATGATATTCTCAGAATGAATTTAATTTCATAAAGAGAATAAAATGAGACAACTGGAGATGACTTGTATCTTTATTACCAAATTTTGTCTTAAGTTTAAGATGACTGTGCCTTATAGACATGACCGTCTTTTTCTACACTCACTTTTAAAACAGATAAGTAGGGTTTCAAACCATGCCCAGGATTTTCATAGGGATTGTCTGCCTAGTACATATCATGATCCCAGATTCCCACAAGGAAAGCAGATATTGAACATAATACATGTCAATAGCATAAAGTTTAGGTATAACGAGTCCAATTGAGCCAGGGAGCTGTCTCAAAATCCACATGCCAGTCTCCTCAGCCTTCCTGTGTTAACTTTTCTTTAATATGTAGTTATATTTATATATAATTTGAAGCTTGTTATTAGTGCAATAATCTTAGAATATTATGAAGTGAGATTGTGTGAAATTTGCATGTTAAAATAGGATGCTTAAGGAGCATGTAATGACCTTAGTACAATTTGTAAGGAATCTTTAATTGCCTATTTTGTATTCAGTCTTGACTTTAGCAGAAAGAAATTTTTTTTTTTAAGTTGGTCATGGGGCTTGAACTCTGGGCTTGGGCATGTCCTTGCGCTCTTCAGCTCAAGGCGAGTGCTCTACCGCTTGAGCCACAGCACCACTTCCGGTTTTCTAGTGGTTTATTGGAGATAAGAGTCTCACATACTTTCCTGCCTGGGTGTGATCCTTAGATCTCAGCCTCCTGAGTAGCTAGGATTACAGGCTTGAGCCACCAGCGCCCAGCGCAAGAATATTTTTGTGAATTATAAGACAAGCTGTATGTTACAGCATTTAGAATCATTCCTGAAGATTCTACTGATAATATTTGAAGGTGCCTGAAATATATTTACAATTATCTTTGCATTGGCTGAGTGTGTTTGTTTTTTCTATTTTAAGTTTCTGAGTTGCATGCTTCTTGATATGTACTTAAGAGGAAGATATTATTGGACATAAATCTGTCAGCTTTGGAAAAAAATAGTAATAGCAGTTTTTTACTTGTAGACTGATAAAGTTATAACAAAGAAGACTAGATTTCTTTTTTTGTTTTTTTTGTTTTTTTGTTTTTGGGGGGGGGGGGGTGGTACGGTAGTAGGCCTGAACTCTGGGCCTAGGCGCTGTCCCTCAGCTCTTCAGCTCAAGTAGCGCTCTACCACTTGAGCCACATCACCACTTCCGGCTTTTTTTTCTGCTTATATGGTGCTGAGGAATCGAACTCAGGGCCTCATGCCTGCAAAGCAAGCGCTCTACCACTGAGCCACCTTCCCAGCCCCCTAGATTTCTTTGTTAAAAGTTAATAAAGCAAAGTAGATCTATTTTCCTTAAGTGTTACATATCCCATTTACCAATGAGTATTATTTTGATAATAGGCTATTATTTTCAAAATTTAAGTGATCAAACCAATTAAGTATGTTGACATTCATATTCATGAGGCTTAATTTTTTAAAAAATATTAATTTTGTTTTAAATAATTCATATATGCTAAGGCATTTAAAATTTATAGGCATTAGAAATTTAGGTAATACATTACTGTAAAACTATAAGCTTCAGTTTATAGTAATATGATTCTCTATAAATTACACAGCTATATAAATTATACAGTTTGATTGTAAATTACTGTTTTATTAAATTAGATCCCTTCATACCATTTTGGTCTTACTTGTAGGTCCCAATCTACCCATGGCTACAGTTGACATAAAAAATCCAGAAATAACAACAAATAGATTTTATGGTCCACAAGTCAACAACATCTCACATACCAAAGAAAAGAAGAAAGGAAAAGCTAAAAAGAAGAGATTAACCAAGGCTGATATTGGAACTCCAAGCAATTTTCAGTAAGATAGTTCTCTTGTTCTTTTATTATTTGAACAGGTCTTACTATACTTCTCATCATGTTGCTTTTATCTCTTGAGCCTCTCAAGTAGCTAGGGTTACATTTACCACTGTGTCTGGCCTTCACTTTTGATTTATCATTTCGCTCATTTTTTTAACCTGTTAGAAATTTTTGTTTTCTTTTGTAGCATTGTATATATTCATTACTTTTTGAAAACTATGGACTTTGTTGGACTTGTGTTTGTTTGGGGTTTTTTTGTGTTTGTTTGCTCAGTAGATGTTCTGTGAATCTTTTAATCTTTTTGAAACAAAATCTAGCCATGTAGTCCAGGCTGCCTCAAATTCTTGATTGTACTATCCCAGCTTCCTAGTGCTAGAATTGTAAGCATGTGCCCCCATGCCCAACTTGTTCTATAGATTTTATGGCTTACTTTTTCATGCATCAAAAAAGAAAGTTATTTATCCACCAAGTTGTTGAACATTATATATCACTATGATATAAAAGTAGTATTTGAAAATTGCATTATCAAAAAGTATTGTCTTAAGGTAAAATAGACTGGCTAAAGGTAAAACAAAGCCTGTGATATTAGGTTTTAAAGATCCTGTATGAATTTTATTTTTCTATTCTAGGCACATTGGACATGTTGGTTGGGATCCAAATACAGGCTTTGATGTAAGTATCTTTTCAAGTACTATTCATTATTACTAAATTTTGGAAGGATAGTATGGTTTCCTTTAGATTTTTATTACCATTTTTTGGATTCTGATGTTTATGTGAATGTGCTTTGTGTTTACGTGTATATACTACTGATATTTGAAAATACAATATTGTTCTCTCTTTGCTATTGTCTAAACTTTATAGTGAGTAGGTTAAATACTGTGTTTTGATAGCTTAAGAAGTGTTTTTTTTCTTATAACTAACTTCAACGGAGTACATCCAGATTATGTGAAAATAGTATAATTAAATTGGGAATAATCAGGTATATAATTAGTTAGAGCTTTTCTGTTTATTTTTTTTTTTGTCATTTTAGTAATTTGTTATTTTAGGCGAGGTACCAGTGGTTTATACCTATAACCCTAGCTACTTAGGAGACTGAGATCTGGAGGGTCATAGTTTGAAACTAGCCCAGGCAGAAAAGTCCATGAGACTCCATTTCTAAAATAACCAGTGAAAAAATGGCCTGGAGGTAGAGTACAAGTGATAAAGAGTACTAATCAAGCAAACAGGCTCAAAAACCATGAGGCTCTGAGTTCAAACTCTGGTACCAATCCCCTGTCCTTCCCCCCACAACATTTTATTTTGTAGTATTATGAGAGCAAGCTAAGTAAAACAACAGGCAAAGAAAACCAGCTAACAAACAAACAAAAAAATTGGAATTTCAATAGTCTTACTTTTTTTTTCCTTTTTCTTTTTTTGTACTGAGAGCCTCTAGCTCTTTTAGCTTGCTTGCCCAGCTAGTGTCCAACCCCTTCAGACATAGAGCTAGCCCAATTTTTTGCTGTTCATTTTAGAGATGGAACTACTTTAAAAACATCATTTGTGATTTGTATCAGCAAAACTTGTGGTTATATAATATAATGATAATTCTAAAAACATTTTATACCACTTTGTGTTACCTACTGGACAAGGAGGGATTTAAGGAAGTCTTTGTCCTCACATTTCCAAATTGATTTTTTTCCATGTGTTTATTCATGATAAACAAATCTTATAAAGGCAGAGTAGGTATATCAGAGTTGTGAATGGGTTACTAGAAATCTAAATTAAAAACTCTATTTGTAAAGACAGGCAAACATGAAATAAAATAGAAAGTCTCTTTAGTTCTTATTTGTTCAGGTTCTTTATAGAAATATTTATTATTTCCATTTAAAGGAAACGTTTAAAAAATTTATAAACAAAATCATTTCATAAGGACACCGATGAGTATTAAATGTCATGATTGAAATTATAACCAATTTTTTATAGTTAGCAGTTATTTTATCTGTTGTAGCTAAATAATTTGGATCCAGAGCTAAAGAATCTTTTCGATATGTGTGGAATCTCAGAGGCCCAACTTAAAGACAGAGAAACATCAAAAGTTATCTATGACTTTATTGAGAAAACAGGAGGTGTTGAAGCTGTTAAAAATGAACTCCGAAGGCAAGGTAACTTATTCTGATTAGTCACTTTCATATCTTTATTTTTCCCCTCTGAATTTTCTGAGATTAGCTCCTTTTTTGGGAAAGGAGAGCCCCTCAGATTAAACTCTGGGCTTTGTGTATATTAGGAAAGTGATATTACTGATTTATGTACATCTGAGCTCCTGAGATGTTTCATAGCAGGGTGTGTGTGTGTGTGTGTGTGTGTGTTAGCAGGGTGTGTGTGTGTGTGTGTACATTCATGTGTACCCCTCCCTTTGCAGAATGCTTGAAATTATGGACAACTAATTTTGCCCAGCATATTATATCTTGTATTATTCTGATAAAATTTTAAAACTTGACAAGGTTTATTTATTGCTTTTATTATTTTTTCATATTAAATTTGTGAAAATCTATGTAAAAATCTCCTAGCTATTCTAAAAAGTTATAATTGCCTATATATTTTGCCTAATGAAACAGAAGCCATTAAAGTTATTATAATTCAGTAATAATAATTTAAATATAATCACTTTGTAATCACTAATATCAACGTTTTCATAATACAAACAAGGTAAACTTTTTTACTAATTTTGAAATACAAACTCTTTTTAATAAGTTAAAATTTTCTTTTGGTTGAGAGTACAAAAATTTCACTGTCTTTTAAGATATGAAATTTCACTTAAATCACCTCATGTTTTAATGTGTCTTAACAAGTATGACAGCACAAGGCAAATAAAATAAAATTTTCAGCATGAAAGTCATCCCTTTGCTACCTTGATCTTTCAGGACTAATTTTCTTTTTAAATACCCATTACAGTGTAACAGCAAAATCGTCAGATAATGTGTTCTTAAATTTTTCATTTTAATGTATATATTTACCTTTTTGTTTTTCCCTGCTGATGTTTTGATTATGAATCATTCGTTTACATATTTAGTAAACATTATTATTCCTAAACTAGTCTCAGGATATTTAGACAGTTTATCTTCTTAGAAGTCTTACAGTCCAGTGCAAGGTCATATTGCAGTTGTGGAAACAAGTGTTTCTTCCACTAGCATGATGCTCCATTTCCAAACTGTGGATTTTAAACAACACATTGTAGGCACAGCATAACATTATTTCTCTTTTGAGCCTGTCTTCAGGCTTACATTCCAGGCACTGCCCCTGAGCTTTTTTGCTCAAGGCTAGCGCTCTGCCGGTTGAGCCACAGCTCCACTACCATCTTTTTGAACCTAGGAATCTCACAATCTTTCCTGCCCAAGCTGGCTTCAAGCTATGATCCTCTAATCTCTGCATCCTGAGTAGCTAGGACAGGCATGAACCACCCTCCTTACTTCGCACCATTCTTTTTAATACATTACTGGCATGCTGAGATGATGGAAAACCATTATGGTCTTAGAGAACCATAATGTATCTCTCAGAGCTAATTTTTTTCCCACTCTCATCACCTGTGCACACCATACCAGTGATTTTGAACATTTACAAGTAACTCTTGACCTTATTGCCATCTGTGCCTCTGCATTCTCACCTTCATGGCTGTAACCAATAATGAAGAATATCAACTAAATTGAGTTTTTAAAAGCATTTATTAAACTGTTTCTTATTTTACGTGTTTTAAAAACAGGCAGGTTTTTCTTAATTTAGTTTCTCTAAAATAAGAAATCTTAGACATTGAAAAACATACTTTGAGAACAGAATATAAAAACAGAATTTATTATATTCAGTAACTTGAATTTCAATGCAGAACTTGTTTTAAAAAAGAATGGTTTTATGTAAGATGGATTTTTAATGGAATAATAAAAAGATGAACAATTTATTAAAATTTTTGTGAGTGAAACATAATTTAATATTCATAAATATAAAAGAAGAGAAGCTAATTAAGTTGTCTTGAAAATACATCTTGTAAAACTGACTGAAGGAAATCTCTTGATACTTATTTTATAAAGCCTGTAGTCATGATTGATAAAACAGCTAGACTTGTGATTTGGTTTGTATAGTTGTTTAAAGTTCATTAACTCATAGTATGTGTTCTATAGGTCCACCACAGTGGAGTGGTATGTATATGGAAGATTGAGTATGTGCTTTATATGATGCATGCTGTGCTGTGTTGATTTTTCAGAAAATGTAGTTTATATATTCTGCCTCTGTATATAGTGGCAGTGAAATTTTCAGCTCTAATCTCAAACTAATGGTTAGGATACACTTAAAAATTAAAAGAATATTTCTGTATTATTCAGAGTTTAGTACTTTATCTAGAAACTTACTGGAATTTTCTAGCTTTATGTAACAACCCTTCCTGGCCAGAAATAACCTGTTGTTTTAATTACTACTAATTATACTTATTATTTTGTGGTTGCTTTTCATATTTGGCATTTTTTTCTATAACCTGTACAGAATTTACATTTTTATATTAACTTGGATGAGAGAAGACAATTAACAAAAATAAGCACAACATTTTATAAATGTTTACTCAGGGACTTGTCAGCATTTCCATAAACTTAAATTTTTATTAAATAATTTTTTTTGCTTGTTTTACCTTCATGAAAGTACATGGGATCAGTTGTTCCTGAATTCTATGATTCTGTATTTATTTGTTTTAAGTAATTTTTTGAGGAGATAGGATCTCACTGTAAAGCCCAGGCTGACCTCAGACTTAGTGCCTCACACTGAACTAAACGTTGTGATCCTCCTGCCTTTGTCTCCTGAGTGCTAAAATGGAGGATATGTGCCATGGGCCCTAGCAGTCTTACCGTACTCTTAATATTATTGTTGATGAATGCGTGGCTATTTTTAAGTATATCAACCTTTTTTGTATAATACTTCAAGATAAGGGATTTTTTAATATAAATTTTATTTTTCCTTTAATTTTTTTGATAAAAGGAACAATTTTCTTTTGTGGTAAGTTTTATTTCATGCTTTCCATTGTATTCCACAACTGTGTTTATTGCAGCATTATTTACCATAGCTAAGATATGGAACCAACCCAGATGCCCCTCAGTAGATGAATGGATCAAGAAAATGTGGTATATATACACAATGGAATTCTATGCCTCCATCAAAATAAACGACATTGCCCCATTTGTTAGGAAATGGAAAGACTTGGAAAAAATTATATTAAGTGAAGTAAGCCAGGCCCAAAGAAACATAGGTCCCATGGTTTCCCTTATTTGCAATAATTAGTATATGTCTGAGTCAAACAGAAAAGGTCAGATAACTTGATATAGGGGAATGAACCCCAAGATAAGTAGTCAAATGTTTTTTTTTTTCTTTGATGCAATTGTTTCTAACATATTTATAAGGTGATTTCTATGTTGCTTTGTATGTCCCTCCCCCACGGTATAACCCCTGTTTTCACTGTATTTGATGTTGGTATAATTTGTGGAGGTGTAGGGCAAAAACAAATCGTTTAACTAGGGTTACAGGTGGACCCATTGCAACAATGAGATGTACAAGTTGTTATATCGAAAAACGAATCTTACAACTTTGGTGGGAGCTATAGGGAGAGTATGGGAAGGGATGGGAAGGGGAAACAAAGAGGAGGCAACAATACTTGATAAGAAATGTACTCATTATCTTGCCCATGGAATTGTAACTCCTCTGTACGGTATTCTCACAATAAAAAATAAATAATAAAAATAAAAAAATGAAAAATTGTGGTCTTCATGGTAACTTAGAGTTTTGAAAATCTGTATCAGAACTTCTTGTACTTATTTATACTGTCTTGAAAGATATTTTTGGGCATGTAAATCTAACTGCCATCTTTCTCGTCTGTTGAGATAATACAGTCTATAAATAGTGAATATTGTTAAGGAGTTTTTGTTCGTTTAAAGAAATTAATCACTTTTCATGAAAATAGAAGTGATGGGTTTGTACTGCACTAAAACTGGATGTCAGTTTGTTCATTATAAATGAAGACTCCCCTACTCTTTTTTTTTGGCGGAGGGGGGGGGGGTGTGGTCTGGTCGTGGGGCTTGAACTCTGGGCCTGGGCGCTGTCCCTCAGCTCTTCAGCTCAAGGCTAGCGCTCTACCACTTGAGCCACAGCACCACTTCCAGCTTTTTTCTTTTTGCTTATGTGGTGCTGAGGAATTGAACCCAGGGCCTTGGGCATGCAAGGCAAGCACTCTACCACTGAGCCACCTTCCCAGCCCTCCCCTATTCTTGAGCAGTGATTTTTAGACTTTAAAGAAGTGTACCTGGATCCCAGTATATAAATTGAATGCATTTTCAAAAGAGCTTTAATTTAAAAGTTCTTAGTGGAACCATGGGAAATAATTGGTTATTTAGCCAGGCACCAGTGCCTCACGCCTGTAATCCTAACTACTCAGGAGGCTGAGATCTGAGGATCGCAATTCAAAGCCAGCCCAAGCAGGAAAGTCCCTGTGAGGTTCTTAGCTCTAATAAACCACCAGGAAACAGGAAGTGGCACTGTGTCTTAAGTGGTAGAACGCTTGGCTTGAGCTGAAGAGCTCAGGGACAGCACCCGGGGCCAAGAGTTCAAGCCCCATGGCCAACAAAAATAAGTGCCAATGTAGATAGATACTATTACCATTTGAAATACAAACTTTGTAGTTTCTTATTCAGGAATGTGCATAGTACTATACACCTATACCATTTTCTACCTTACTTGCAATTTGGTTGAAAATGCATTAGAAAAGTACTATGCTTTTAGCAAGTGTGAGGACAGCTTTAAAACAAAACTAATCTTGGCATCAGGAGCGGCCTAGCACCCAGGCAGCAGGGAACAGCCCAGTGCACATCCATCTCAGACCCAAGTCTAACCTTTCCGATCCCTGCTGCAGATCTGATTGAGCTCCCTCCAACTAGTTTGGGGCTAAGCACACGCACAGGTGTTTGCTGGCCTGGGGACCCAGTGTGGGCTAGGTTACTCTATGTGAACCAAGGCAAGTGAGGGCTGCCATTTGTCAGGAGTAAACAGATCAAGCCACGACCATGGCCCTGACCATTTCTGAACCCTGCCTAAATCACAACAAAAGATTACAAGATTCATGAGCAATCAAGACAACAAACCAAATCAAATAGCCAGTAACACTCCAGGGAAGGACTCCAATGAGAATGAAGAGATGGAAGACAAAAGAACCATTAAAGAAACGATGACAGAATTGGTCAATAAAATAAAAGGGGAGATGCAGAAATAACTTCAAGAGGATAAAGAAGAGATGACAAAGAAAATCCAAGACTCCCAGAAAGATTTATAGAGAAAATAGCCATGCTGTACACTGCATTAAAAGATGACACGGATTCTATGAGAAGTGAGCTGGGAACTGTAAAAGGTTCAGATTCCACAGTGCAGACAACAGTGGAATCTATAGTTAACAGAATAAGTAACATGGAAAATAGAACTTCAGAAGTCGAGGATAAAACAGAGTAGCTAGAATAAAAACTCAAAAGTATGGAAAAAACATTGAGAACCTACCAAAGAGAAGTCCAGGAATTGGCAGACTCAGTTAAGAAATTAAATCTGTGTAAACCTTGGGCTAGATGAGGGGGAAGAATTTAAGAGGCATCGAAAATCTATTCAGTGAAATAATAGCTGAGAACTTCCCCACTCTTTTCTGAAGATTTGTTTGTTTGTTTGTTTTTTTATTGTGAAAATACCGTTCAGAGGGGTTACAATTACATGGGCAAGATAATGAGTACATTTCTTATCAAGCATTGTCGCCTTCTCCTTTGTTTCCCCTTCCTATCCCTTCCCATCTTCCCCTTACCCCCCTGTTTATTTATCTTTGTTGGTAATGGGGCTTGAACTCTGCGCCTGGGTGCAGTCCCTCAGCTTTTCAGCTCAAGGCAATCACTCTGCCACTTGAGCCACAGCTCCACTTCCTTCCCCACTCTTAGAACCCTTCCCCACTCTTAGAAGAGAAAACCTTACCTGCTTAACAGAAGCATGTAGAACCCTCAGTACACTGGGTCCAAGAAGAAACACTTCTAGACACATCATAGTGAAAACATTAGACATGAATAGCAAGGAACAAACTGTCACAAAATTAAAGAAGGAGCTATATTATAATGGAAAGAAAATTAGAGTCGCTGCAGACTTCTCCACACAAACTCTCAACACAAGGAGCGCCTGGAATAATAAAATCCAACCAATGATCCAATCCAATGATTACATTCTGTTTGGTGGTGGTGGTGGTTGTTGTTGTTGTTGTTGATTTTGTCCATCATGGGGCTGAACTCTGGTCCTGGGTGCTGGCCCTCAGCTCTTCAGCTCAAGGCTAGTGCTCTACCACTTGAACCATACATAGCACCACTTCGGGCTTTTTCTGCTTATGTAGTGCTGAGGAATCAAACCCAGGGCCTCATGGTTGCAAGGCAAGCATTTTACCCTGGAGCCACCTTCCCAGCCTGTTTTGGGTTATTTTTTAAATGATTAAAGCTTCCACTAGTTAGGATATACGTCTTTTAGTATAAACTAAGTTATAATAGGAAGCAGCCCTGTTACAAAAAAAAGAAGAAACACAGTCCCAAAATAGGGTCTTTCTTTTCTCCACAAAAAAGAAAAAGGAAAAACTGAATGAACTTTAGGTTTAACACTCAGACAGAGCTGTAGTATATACCTTGAGCATAAATCATAGGAATGCCCTATTGTGATGTCCTACCTGCTACTTCCAGCCATATATTAGTAGCAATTTGAAAATGTATATGACTAGAGACAATAACCATGTGAGTTTGTGTCTTTCTGTATGTTTCAGTTAGTGTTCCTGATTATGTTTGGTTATAAATTTTGTAGTATGTCCATAATTTGTCCAAATGAAATCTAAACTATCATTATATTCACTTTAGAAGTAGGCATCTACTCATTGTTTAAAATTAAGGTGGGTACTTACAACTGAGTAGGTGACTAGGAATATTCTTAGTATCAGACTACACTTCATATAGGTAGACACAAATAGCTATTAGATTACAAAATTTCTCATAAAATAGTTTGTTTTTCTGTCAGTCTTTAAATGAATAGAGAAATAATGAAGTATGTTACTTGTGAATGTTGATAAAATCATAAATGATAAAATACAATTTAATACTTAAATATTGTATTCTCTGATATATTTTGATGTTTCTGTACTTTAGGATTTATCTAATAAATTTTTCTTTACACAGAATAATAATTGAAATATTATTGGGATAAAAGTTATTTTTATTAATAACTTTAGCTTATAAATGTCTCAATTTGTTAATAATCAGTTCAGATTTCCCAAGTAAATAGAACAACCTTCCTTAATACCATTGCTAGACATTGTATTATAAGATAAAAATTAACATGTAAATTACATAATGAAGGTTTACTTTTTTTTTTTTTTTTTTTTTGTCGGTCTTGGGGCTTGAATTCTGGGCCTGGGCACTGTCCCTCAGCTCTTCAGCTGAGCCACAGTGCCACTTCTGGCTTTTTCTGTTTATGTGGTGTTGAGGAATCAAACCCAGGGCCTTATGCATGCAAGGCAAGCACTCTACCACTGAGCCACCTTCCCAGGTGTACATTTTAAAATAAAAAGTGCTATGTTTTTATTTTTTATTTCACCAGTTCCTGGTGAAATACTGTAATCCTAGCTACTTAGAGGCTGAGATCTGAGGAGCAATTCAAAGCCAGCCCAGGCAGGAAACTCTATAAGACATTGCCAATAAACTACACAGAAAAAGCCAGAAGTAGCACTGTGGCTTAAGTGGTACAGCACAAGCTTTGAGCACAGAGAAGCTCAGGGACAGCGCCCAGGCCCTGAGTTCAAGCCCCAGGTCCGACAAAACAGAAAAAAATGAATAAAATTAGAAGATACCCTCTGCTCAAATGTTTGTAAAGTAAAAATGCAAATGTGAAACTTTCGGTATTTTTGTATCATATATATTAACGTGAGTTGTCTTATTAATATGTTGTTTATGGGGGGGGGAAATATGATCTTCTTTTTTTTTCTTGTTTTCAGCACCACCACCACCACCACCATCAAGAGGAGGCCCTCCACCCCCTCCACCCCCTCCACACAGCTCAGGGCCTCCTCCTCCTCCTGCTCGTGGAAGAGGTGCTCCTCCCCCACCACCGTCAAGAGCTCCCACAGCTGCACCTCCACCACCGCCTCCGTCCAGGCCTGGTGTGGGGGTCCCTCCACCCCCACCAAACAGGATGTACCCTCCTCCACCTCCAGCTCTTCCTTCTTCAGCACCTTCAGGGCCTCCACCACCACCTCCACCCATGACAGTGTCAGTGTCAGCATCAGTGGCACCACCCCCACCACCTCCGCCTCCGCCTCCACCCGGTCCACCACCGCCCCCTGGCCTCCCTCCTGATGGGGACCATCAAGTACCATCTCCCGCAGGAAACAAAGCAGCTCTTTTAGATCAAATTAGAGAGGGCGCTCAGCTGAAGAAGGTGGGGCAGAACAGCCGACCGGTGTCCTGCTCCGGGAGGGATGCACTCTTAGACCAGATACGGCAGGGCATTCAACTGAAATCTGTAAGTAAGATGCCTGTAAATGATCTTGAGATCATTTAACATCATTGGATTCTAAGGTCTTTTTTTTTTTTCACTGAAGAAAGACATGTTTTGAATTTATCTTTTTACCTTACTCTATTTATCTTTGTTTCAACCTTGTAGACTTTTTTTTATATAAACAATGATACGCCGAATTTTAGTTCAGTTTTGTTTCTTTCTGGCTTTTTGTTTTGGTGGTGGTACTGGGGTTTTTGGACTCTGCTTGTAGCACTTGGTAGGCAGATACTTTGTCACCTAAATTATACCTTGAGCCCTTTTTACTTCGTTCTTTTTTTGTAGAAGTCTAGCACTTTTTCCTGGGTTAGCCTTAGACTGTTAGCCTCCTACATATACCTCTCCTGTAGCTATAATGAACAGAGATGTACAACCTGGCCTGGCCTTTGAATTAGAATCTTACTACATGCTGAGTCTTGCTGGTGCTAACCTGAAACCACACTCCTTAGTAGCTGGTTATTTTACATGTGAACCATCACACAGCAGTTTAGATAAAAGCCTGTAGATGTGTAACCCACATTTCTGTATCAAGGTGTAGACAATCTACAGTTTCTGTATTCTAAAATTTAGAGTAGTAAAAACACCAGACTCCAGAAAATTCAGAGTTCTAATAGAATTCTTTTTCTTTTTCCTGTTACTGGAATTTAAACTGAAGCCTTCATACTTGCTGTACTGGTGTTCTATCACTTGAAACATAGCTCCATTGGACATTTTTGCTGGTTAATTGGAGATGAATAGGATTTTCTTCCCAGTCTGGCTTCAAACCATGAGCCTCCAATTTCTCAGCCTCCAAGTAGCTAGGGTTACAGGTGTAAGCTGCCAACACCCAGCACTAATAGAATTCTTGAGAGTAAAAGCTGATAATTCTGAATTCTCTGAATTGGACAAGATGGTCATTTGAAACAATACATACTTTAATAATAGAGATGAGAAACTTTTTTAAAAGACCAGATAGCATATGTTTATATGTATATGTGTTTATAAAATTCTGCAATAAAGTAGTTTCAAGGTTTACCATGCTAATACCTTAGAGACTAGAATGAATAGAAGTAGTCCAGCCATAAGAGCAAATATTTTTCAGGAAAGATATTTCTGTATAACTTGTTTTGCAAATGTATCGATGACTTAACATATTATGAAATAAAGGAAATCAGATCTCAATAATTCTTCTAAGATAGCAGTTGTTTTTTTCTTAATTTAATCCTGTTTTAGGCTTGCACATTTGCTTTCTTTTTAATTTTCTCCTGTTATTCTAAAAAGACAGTATTTTGATGACAAAGATTCTTTGCTAAGGATGTATAGTTGAGCTTTGCTAATTTTCTTGTTCAAGGTGTCTGATGGCCAAGAGTCTACGCCACCAACGCCTGCACCCACTTCAGGAATTGTGGGTGCCTTGATGGAAGTGATGCAGAAGAGGAGCAAAGCCATTCACTCCTCAGGTATGAGGGACGCACGCATGGCATGCGTGTGCGCACTCACACCAGCCTTAGATCTTGAACTCCTAGCCTCATGCTGTAACACAGCTTCCGTTCACAACTGGCACTCTTCCAATGTAACCACATCTCCAAGCCTAGCTTTTTGCTGGTTAATTGGAATTTTGTGTACTTGTTTGCCCAGGGTTCCTTTCAGTCCTCATTTTCAGATCTCGCCTCCTGAATAACTAGAATGATAGGCATGAACCACTAACACCCAGAATAAAATTGATTATTTGAAGTTCTCTTTTTCTTTTATTTTTTTATGACTATCTTTGTTACTATTTTCTCTGCTGTGGGACATATTTAACCAAATTGCTGCCCCTAAGAATAGTCTATTTGTTCTATAACAAAAAATATGATAGAATCTCTGGCCAGCAACCTGAACCTTGAACTCAGAACATGGGCACTGTCCTTAGCTTTTCCAAGGCTAGCACTTTACTACTTGAGCCTCAGCTCAAAAAGTATAGTTTTTGAGTAATTACTTAAAGAGTCTTATAAATTTTCCTAAGCTAGCTTTGAACCACTTTCCTCAAATTTCAACCTCTTAAGTAGCTAGGAATACAGGTGTGAGCTGCCAGCACCCCGCAATAAATATGCATTAATTATTTGTCTTGGTAATTTTCTTCCAGATGAGGATGATGAAGAAGATGATGAAGAAGATTTTGAGGATGATGATGAATGGGAAGACTGATCTATATATATATTATATATATATATATATATATACATACATATATATATTTTTACGGTGAAATACTAAACACTACTTTCTGTCTATGGATTCTGTAAAATTATCATGTAAATGTTCTACCAATTTGCTGTATATTTTTGTTGCCTTTTTGCTTTTTTTTAATTAATCTGTGCAATACCTCATTTAATCTGTAAAGGTTTGTCATAATCTACTCCCTGTTATTGTTGCAAGTTTACACCAGAATGCTCACTTATTGTGAATATTTTTCATTCCATCAACAGAGGAGTTTAAATATTATATGTGAGACTGACAATAAACCTTAATGTAATTTAGTTATAATGCCAGAAGGAAAACACTATTTTCATACCCTCCTTTTTCTGTACCTAAATTTTCTTATTAAAATCTAGTATAGCACTACATTCTTTTTAAGGTGATGTAAACTTCAATTTCTTTAGCCCCGTCATTTTGAACACAATGCTACATATGAATGTTGAAGCTGATACATTGCACAGTTCTCTAGGTATCACTACACAGCAGTTTTTCAAATTTTAGCAATATTCTCTGCATAAAATCACTACAAAAATACTAATGGAGAAGACTGGTACACTCTTCTTAATCATAATGCCCGTCATGTTTCAGCAGTGGTATTTGTAGGCTGAAATCATAGGAGCCCTCACATACCTGTAATTGAGGTTATTTTTTATGCTATAGCAAATGTGGCAGGCCCCTTTTGGCAAAAAGTTGAAATATATTTTTGGTATTCTGAAAAGTTATTTAATTGGAGTTTTGCAGGTTTGGGAATAGTTTCCTGCTTCATAGCCAATATGATTACTTCCAGTGTTTGATTAAAAATGTTAGCAAAACATTATTTTAATAGTATGGAAATAAATGCTTTTATTTTACAGTTTGTAAAACTTGAGGTACTCAGAAATACCAACCATAGAGAAAAATACGTTGGCAAAGGTATACACTATATAAATAATTTTTGTTTGGGTAATTTCTCAAGAATTTTGTCAAATATCAGGTGAGGTATTACATTTTTATTGAAAGATTAATGGTCCCAATGTCAAATTTATTGGAACACATAACTGATTTTAGTAGATTTTTTTTAAATAAAATTTTACAACCTACCCATTTGTTATGCATACTATATGGTGTGTTAAAATTAGGGTTTCCTTGTCGTTACAGTGCACTAATCTGCCTAATGGTGATTGTCTGATATTTATAGTGCTAATTATCACATCTACCTACTTTTAGTTTGAGGTAGAAAATTATCTGATTTAAATACAGACATATTTTTCTCACATTGAGTCATATGCAGAATGTAGCTTCAAATGTATTTCATTATTATAGTCACACTATCCAACTAAAAAATATGCTATATAGAATTGTACCGACCAAAACCCAAGTATTGGCATGATCTTGACAGGCTGGACCTGCAAGATGTGGCTTGAATTTTAACCAGTTTATCACATAATCTCAAGTGATCATACGTCTAGTTATCATAAAAAAATAATTTAAAAGGTTTAGTTACTGAAGGAAGTGGTACAGTAAAATAGTTTTAAGTTATTCAAGGAATGTTACCTTCCTTGAAAGAGTAATTTAAGCACATGGGAAAGATTCTAGATTTTTGTTTCCTGTAAAAACAGTGCTCTTTGCTGCTAAAAACTATTTTCCGCGTATTGTCACCTTTATTGTGGCTTGAGCTCAGTGACTCTTGTGTGGATGAGGCTGGACAAATACTAATCAGTAAAATTAGGAGTGTGTGCTCATGATGATAGGACATCATAATTACTTTAAATAACATGAACTACTTTTCTATGTCACATTATACAAGATGTCTAAAATATCCTACAGTGTCTTTAAGATAATGCCAATTTAAAATGTCTCTTCACTTACACGGCCAAGGATTCAGGATTTTCCAGCTAACTTTGGGATTTACCAGATGCTTCTCTGAGGACAGGATGTCAATTCTTTGAGTTGGAAACCCCACTTATAATATTTATTGCCAAAGATAATTGAATTTGTTCTTTTTCCTCAAAGTAGAAAACACGTGTTAGTGCACAGTCTAAATTACTGTTAGTTGGAGCACAGTAGCTCTGGGGTTCAGTCCAGGCATGAAGACTAAAGCGCTTTAGCAAGTAAGATGTAAGGTTGCATGTTCCAGTCCTCCACTGCCTTGCACTCGGGGTGGCATCATACCTGTGCTTTGTCTGAAAGCCTCCCACATATACTCCACCTAAATGATTGTCTGGTAGCCTTTGCATTTAACAGACTAGCATGAGGCCTTTTCTATCTAAATGCTACGTGATAGACAATTTTAGCTAGCCACATATTGTATGTATGAGATTCATAAAGATTTTCAATCATTTCCATTTATCAACTGAAATTTTGTTTAGTATGTGAATTTTTTTTGAAATGTATAGTGAATAGGATGATGCACTGGTGGCAATTCATCATAGAGCATAATAAAATTAATTTGACCCAAATAGTACAAAATAGTGTGTTTTTATTTATATGTTGAGAGAGAAAAATGTTTACAAACTTAAGTCCACAGCATGGAGTTTCCAACAGACTGTCTGCCCTGAGAGTTAGGTGTGCCATTGAATACACATAGTAAGCAAAGAATGTTACACCCTGTTCTATTGGGAAGTAGAAGAGCTGCTCAGCAGCTCCTGGGAAGCCACTGCTGGTGTGCGGGGCACTCACACTGCAAGGTCAAACTGAAGCTCCTCCTTCACAAACCAGAAATGTTGATGGTTGCCATATTACAATAACAGGACTTTATTGGTAGCTTCAGTAAGTGCCAAACATAGTGTGACATAAAGTAGCTTTTAATAAACAATCATCGAAGATGGTGATCACTTTAAGCAGGAAACGCAGTTTTTGATGAATAGAACCTTCTGTTTCACTGACCCTGGCGCATGTGGGTGTCTGGAGATCAGTTACGGAATCCAGAGTGTAGGATGCTACAGAATTTCTTGAAGAGCTTTCGACAAATTTAACAGACATTTCAAGAATAGTATGTTCTGTTAAGAAGTCATTTCTGTTGTCCAAAATTGTGCACTTCTAAGAGTGTATTAAAGCAAACTTAAGGAAATTTTAAAGAAAAGGCTGCCTCAGACTTGTGCCATGGCATCATACTTCTCTAGTCAACAGAGACTCATGAAATGACTTTGCTTTAGGAACGAGCTCTGAAGGACAAGTGGAGTGTTTAGGCCTATTTATAGTACAATAGAAAATCTGCAGTGGAAACATTTTACTGACACTATCACATTTTGTCTCTAAAGCCTAGCATTCTCCTAGTCTTGGTTATTTGATGCCTATATTAAAACTACTGCCTTTTAGGGAAACCATTGGGAAAAGATGTGGTAGAATCACCTATTAGGAATGTGATGTGAATCTTACTTTACAGTTAGTAAATACTAAGATATCCTTCTGGATGTGATACATATGCTCACTCCCATGAGGAGCTATTTAAAAGTTTAGAACAAAACAGGTGCATCTGCCATGGCTTATTGTAGGTAGGTAGGTGGAGAGAGAGAGATGGAGGATTATACTATTCTCATTGAATATTAAGTACATTTAACCACACCAAAACTCAACAGCTAGTGTGGTGATACCTACTTGTAAACCTTGTCTCCAGAAGAGGCAGAAACTGTAGGAGTCCAAGCTAGTCCAGGAGAAAGTTAAGACTGCAGTATGGTGGTGCATAAAAATGTGTATGGTCCCGGCTCCTGGCTCAAGGCTGGCTGGGGCAAAATTAGTATGAGACTATCTGAAAAACAGAAGGACTAAGGGCAAGGCAAATGAGACCTGGAGTTTAACAATGCCACAAAACAGAAAACTATGCACACACTAAGATCCAATAATATATTCAAATAAGATAGGCCTCATCTGTACTTCACATGTGAATCTGATGTATACATTATTTGAATATATGTTTTACAATTGAAAGATGTGTTTGGGAGACCATTGTGTTAGAATAGGCAGATGTGACCTGCATGAATCAGTCCCTTCACTTTACAGAAGAGGCACCATGCTGAATTTAAGGTGATCATGGGTCTTGCCACTGAACAGTGAGAAGGATCTCATAGACCTAAACTCTGTTCCATGTACCGTAATGTATCCTTGTTTTCTTTTTCTTTTTCTTTTTTTTTCAATTGAGAATAACCCACCAATTTAGTTTGTTTCTGGAAAATTTATGGTAACATTTCTCCCTCTCTCACATACCATCTGAGTGTTGATAGAAGATACCAGTATCCTGAGTCCATCACTGCCCAGAAAAGCTGGCTTACTCTGAGGGGTCAGCCTCTGACTAAAACATGTGACATCACCCAGCACTGCCCAAGCATTTGGCCATCATGGGATACGTCTGTCATTTAGTACTGGGTTGGAATAAGGTTGAACTTTTGATGGTTACATCTAAATCATTTCATTAATTTTTTCATTGATGTAACCAGGTGTTATCTTCGCTAAGCTTTAAACATTTTTGTATATTACCATCTTAACTTGCCTGATTGATTTGAGAATAATCTCTGCATAATTAGTCAACAGCTGCACTAACAATTTAAAGCCTAGGAGTTCTTCCAAGGAGAACAAGGACAACATGAACACTTTAAACTTAACTTTTTAGTTTCACTGTTGGTGAGAGAAGGGAGATTCTAATTTGGCTGCATGTACTTCATCCTCATTAGAAAATAGGCAGGAAAATAAAATGTGTATCTGGAAAAGGCACCATTGGGTCTGATTGACTACAGGGAAAAAAGCAAAGCTTATAATGTCCCAAATCTACAGTTGTCTACAAGGCAAGTATAATTAAGCCCATGAATCAGTTAGACCCAAAAAGAACTTTTCTGTGTTTTTAGCTGTAGTACAGGTCTTTAAACTCCTCATTTGTATTTGTAAGGGGTTTTTTTTTTTTTTTGGTCGGCTTGGTTTTGCTAAAGACGTGATTGACTGAGACAATTCTCAGGAAAAGTGAGAAATGTATTCGCATCTGTTTTGAAGAATGGAAATCAAAGAGAAGCTGATACTACAGAATTTGTTTTTGTTGTCTATTGAGCAAACATGGCAAGGTAAAAGGGCCAGCTTTCTTAGTTGTTACCAGTTGAAGCTTCAACTATACTAGGCCGTACTCTTATAAAGAGGTTTGTTTGTTTTGCTCTATTTTATCTTAAAGACATTTGAACTTTGCTCTGAATATTTGCTAAAGATTGTGATGTGATTACAATATTCACAGTTAGACGATTATGAGACTAATAAGCAGTCTCAAACATTGAGCCACTTTCTTTGTAAGCTGCCTATGAACAGAGCACACTATGGTTCTGTTTAAGGCCTTGCTTTTCCTTGCTACTAAACGAGGTATGTTTGAACTAGTTGTTTAGAGAGGTGTTTCAACAGTTCAAGTACATTCTGAACAGTGCCTACAAATCCTGCAGACCCTAAGCCTTAGCCCATACGACCAGGTTCACGCCAGACAAGCCATGTGCAAAGGAAAGTTTCTTCACCCCTGAACATTTCTACATCTCTTCTTTTTACTTAGAAATTCTTGTCACTTTGTTTTTATAGAACCCAAACAGCAAAAAGCTAGTTTTAAGGGAAGCAGGCTAAGTATTTTTTTTAAACATACGTTATTCTAGCAGCTTAGGACCTAGAAACATTATGAATTTGAATTGTTTTGAATTTGCAAAGGTTATTTCACTAATTATTTAATGAAAAATGAGATTTGGCCACCTTGTATAGAAAAAAAATGTGCTTGCTCTTTCTGCTGCATGTTTATGCCTTTCTTTAGCGTTGTCTTTGGATTGTGGTTTTTTTGGTTGTTTTGTTTGTTTGTTTGTTTTTTGGGTCCGGTCGTGGGGCCTGAACTCTGGGCCTGGGCACTGTCCCTCAGCTCTTCAGCTCAA